TTGGAATACTTAAGGATGCTCTGAGCAGAATACTAAATGATCCAGAATGCATTAAAAAAACAAAAATGGGAAGAGTATACAGAACCACTATACTAAAAAGAACTGGCTGATAAAGAAAGAAGAATTTCATGAAACAGCATATGATCAAGAGGCAATGGTGATAAAGGAGGAGGTTCAAGCTGCTCTGAAGAAGTTGGCAGAAAACAAGGCCCCAGGAATTGATGGAATACCAAGTGACATGTTTCAACAGGCAGATGATGCTCTGGACATGCTCACCAGGTCGTGTCAAGATATCTGGTGGACAACTACCTGGCTAACTGATGGGAAGAGATCCATATTTGTTATCATTCCAAAAAAGAGTTACCCAAAAGAGTGTAGAAATTATCGAACAATATCACTGATAACATACTCCAGAAAATCCTGCTGAAGATTATCCAGAAACTACTGGAACAGTACATCAACAGAGACTACTAGAAACACATACCAGGTTTAGAAGAGGCCGTGGCACCAGATACTGTTGTCAAGGTCAAATGGATCTTAGCTGAAAACAAAGAGTACCAGAGGAATGTCTATCTGTTCCATTGACTATGCAAAGGCATTTGACAGTGTGGATCACAACAAAATCTGGCTAATCTTGAGAGACATGGGAAACTCAGAACATCTGATTGTGCTTATGCAAAATCTATAGTTAGACAAGGAAGCAGTCATCAGAAGGATGCAAGGAAGCTCTATATGGTTCAAAATAACTAAGAAGTGAGTGAGTCAGGGATGGTACCAGAATTGGAGGATGATTAATCAACAACCTGCATTATGTAGATGACACAACATGCTCCGTGAAACAGAGGAGGACTTCCAGAGTTTTTTGTAGAGGATCAAGGACTATAGCCTTCAAAATGGAGTGCACTGGAACACAATAAAACCAAAAATCCCACTGGGCCACCTGACAGCACCATGATAGATGGAGAAGAGATTGAGGTTGTTTAGAATTTCAGCTTGCTCGGCTACACAATCAACACTCTTGGTGTCAGCAGTCAAGAAATCAAAAGACTAATTGTTCTGGGGAAGGCTGCTGTCAGGGACTTCTCAAAAAGTAATGAGGAGCAACGATGTCAGTCTGGAAACCATGGTACACCTGATTTAGGTCTCTTTAATTACTTGCTGTGCATCAGAGAGCTAGACAATGTCTAGGAAGAAGACTGAGTTGTGGTGCTGGAGAACAGTATTGTATTTATACCAGACTGCCAAGAAAACAAATAGGTTTATCCAAGAGAGGATGAAACCAGGCTGCTTCCTGGAGGCAAGGATTCTGAAGCTCTGTCACACTTACTTTGAGTATGTGGCCAAGAGGGACTAGTCCCTGGAGAAGGATATCATGCTTGGAAAGGTGGATGGACAACAGGAGAGGAAGACCCTGGATGAGATGGATTAACACAGTAACTGGGATAATGGAGGTAGGTATGTCGGAGAGAATGAGACTGGCTCAGCATAGAGCAGAGTTCAGAACTATCGCATATAGGGTCACTATGAGTCTCAGGCAACTTGATAGCACATAACAACAAAATATATGTGTCCACTTGGCTGAACTATGATTCTCAGTAATATGTAACTGGCCTCCATTCTGTGATGTTGTAATTATCTTATATGTTATAAATAAATCTAAACCTCTTAGTGTTGTTGTTGTGTAACATAGAGTTGGAACCAACTGAGAGCTGACTTTCTGGCAGGTTTTCAGAGGCAGTTAACTGTATGCAAGGCGACTGTCCATCCTTTTTCCACAGAGCAGCTGGTGGCCTCAAACTGTTTGCCTTAAGGATTGGAGTGTAGCTTCTTGCCACAAGGTCACCAGAGCTTCCTCTTATAATGTTAGTGAGGTTAAATTAGAGACAGTTATGTCTACAAGGCAAGAAGCAATTTATAGGTTTAGGCTACAGTTGGGATATAGTGTGATTAATGAAGGGAACAGAGATCAAAAGGACCTCCCAGTACTAAGATCTCAGAGTAGGGAACATTCTTCTGATGCAAGGTCCCAGTACTGAGAGAGTCCTAGACCCAAGGGATGACTGATAGCAAAGACTTTATCCTGGAGCCAAGAAGAAGAGATAGTCTTGCTCTAGCTTACACCCTGAATTCAGATTTGCAGCCTACTAAACTGTGCTACTATAAGTTTGTTTGTTAAAAGCATTCACTTTTAGTATTCCTGTTACAGCAGCATAAATACCTAAAAGGAGTTCTAGTGGTGTAGTCCACAGTGCATCATGCTCCTAACCCAAAGGCTGCTCATCTCATCAATTCAAAGTCATCAGTGGTGCCATGAGATAATGATGAGCAATCTCCGCTCATGTGATCTACGGAAACCCAAGGAAAGAACAGCTCTCAGTTGGAACCAACTCAAAGACAGCTACTGAGTATGAGACAATAGAGAGAAATCAGTACCAACAAAGGTGTTTCTCTACAAGATGTCTAAAATGGGGAAGTGGTTTTGTAACTGGGTAACACATATAGTCTGAAAGAGTTTTATGGTACCCAATAATAAAAATCTAGACTGCTTTGAAAAGACTATTGGTGGAATTTTGGACATCTGATGCAATTCCAGTTAGAGCACAGAAGGAAATGAAGAAAAGTTATAATAGAGATTGTGCAGATGGCAAGAAGCAGTCACACAGAAACTGGAGCCACAGAACAAGGAAACCAGTGTGAGACGGCACAGGAGCGGACCCAAAGAGCAGAAGCTGGGTACCTTTTGGCTGAGGCGTATTGATGGAATGGGGTGCCTCCAGGCACTTCTCACTCCAGCTGAATAGTTTTGTTCAAATAGGGCAGAGGCCAGGCTGGTTCAAAAGACCCACGGGATAGAAGGACCAAAAGGCCAAAGAACCAAGAAGCACAAGCTAAAGAGGCAAGAACAAATATTATACAACCCCACTACTATAGAAAAGCCAGGAAAAGGTTTCTACATAGAAAGACACACTCTTTGATGTTATCAGGAAGGGAGATGAAGGTAAGGTCTCCAACTAGAGAGCAGCCAGGTATGAAGACAGGTGAAGTGGAAGGCAACACACAATGAAGCAGAAGTCAGCACAATGTGACCAAGGCAAAGGAAGATGAGGAGGGTCACAAAAGTGAAAGGAAACAATGGTACTACTGTCACATATTCCATTTTGCAATAATAATAACAAACAATGATACAAATAGATATGTAAGAAGAACATGCAGTGTAGATATAGACATAGATATGTATACAGAGACAGAGATGGAGAAAAAAAGGATCCTTGTGGCAAAGTATGTCATATGTTGGGCTGCTAACCAAAGGTCAGCAGTTTGAACCCACCACCTGCTCTGAGGGAACAAGATGGGCAATCTCCTTTCCTTCAATTTACAGCCTCAAAAAATCCAATGAAGGGCCAGCTATGAGTCCATCCTAATTAACAGAAATTAGTTAAAATTGTGGAAAAAACGAAGATACTAATCATTCACAATACTCTAGGCAGTCAGTCTAGCTGATATGAACATAAACACATTTTAATTAACATTCTCTTTGGAAACATTCTAACATAATCTAGATTCTGTACCTTCCTGTACCCTGCCCCCAGAACAATGAGGAAGAGTTTTTCAAAGTAAAGTAGGATCTATCACAGGTTTGAGTAAAGAATAAGTAATACTAAAAACAAAACAACTATGAGACATCATCTCACCCCAGTAAGAATAGCAAAATTTAACAGAACAGCAAACAACAAATGCTGGTGAGGTTGTGGAGAAACTGAAACCCTTATTCACTGTTGGTGGAAGTGTAAAATGGTGCAAGCACTATGGAAGGCAGTATGGCGCTTTCTCAAAAAGTTGCAAATAGAAATACCATTTGACCCAGCAATTTCACTACTGGGAATTTACCCTAAAAAAACCATAACCACCACCCAAGCAGATATAGGCACACCCATGTTTATTGCAGCTTTGTTCACAATAACAAAGAGCTGGAAACAGCCCAAGTGCCCATCAACAAACAAATGGATAGAGAAGCTCTGGTATATTCACACAGTGGAATACTATGCAGCATTGGAAAACAAGGAACTCATGAAATATTATCCAAAATGGATGGCCCTGGAGGACATTAGGCTGAGTGAAATATCTCAGTCACAAAAGGGCAAATATTGATTGTATATAGCCACTGTTATAAAACGGGACTTACATCAGGGGTTGAGGGAAGACAGAAAAAAAGAGGGGAGGAATGATGTATACTGCATTGAAACAGATGAGGGAGAGAACTGTTTAAAAGGCATATGTGATTCAATATTATTGTCCTAAAAGGAGTCCAGAATGAAGGCTGCACAGTGGAGTGAACTTGGGGGGAGGGATTGAATTACAGTGAAAGAGTTTTTCTTTTACTTTTCACAGAGAAGAGTGAATTTGGGGTTGGGAGTGGGCAGGGAGAAAAGTGCAACAATGAACAACTGGAAACCCTAAGTCTCTGTAAACGTTCATTAAAATTAATTTTAAAAAAGAGAGTAAGTAATACTAAAAAGAAAAATCAAAATAATGCTATTTTTCAAGATAACAGAATGAAAATGTCACTAAATTTATATATAATTAAAACAGGAAATCCTTACAATATTTAAAATAGAACCAACTTCCTAAATGTTTCCAAATATATATTTACTCATTTTTCAAATTCAGGATTATTCTTTGGGACTTCAGATAGATATAGATACAGAGATAGAGATTATAGATATAGATATATGCTTCTATTTTAAATTGTCCTGGAAAAGCATTTTTTTATTTCCAGGCTATTCTAGAGTACTCTGATTATAGTATATCGGTATGATGTTAAATTTCATTTTCATTAAAGAAGTAGGAGAATGTTTTTTAAAATTTAAGAAGCAAATATTAAAAGAATACATAGTACAAATAAATAAATAAATAAACAAATAGAATGCACACTGGAATACTAAAGGAGTACTATAATTCTCACAGAACTATCCCCAAACAACCGTTAGGCACTTCCTTACCTGCTGAGCTGTAGCATCCTGTTGAACATAAGTGACCTGGCCTGGGTCTGTAAACAGAGTCTAGACAAAAAAACAACACTTTATCAATATAGATCTCTAGACAGCTTGCCTACAAAGGGAAAATTATTCTAAGCTAAGCACCAATTCTTGGGAGAGTAAACTGCCATTATAACTACTAATAATACTTCAATAATAATCTTGTATTTAGCTAAAACCTTTCATTCAAATGGCTCCAAAGAGATTTTATAAGCCAACTACCCCAAAGGTCTAACAACTATGATTTCACTCTTCAGCAAAGCCTCTCTTCAGACTAAATAGGACAGTTTCAAACAGCAGGCACGTGATGGAAATATACAAGCCAAGCCATGAATGCAGCAGTGCACTGTTTCAGGTGGGTTAAGGTGTGCAAATCAAGGACAGCATATACAGGTTCACAGGATTCAGAAGAGCATTATGCTCACAGGGATTAAAACGGTGTTATATGCAAGTGCACAATGAATATCAGATGGGAATTAGAAGGCAAAGAAATGAAACCTAATATTTATAGGGGTATGTGTGTGTGTGTGTGTGTGTGTGTGTGTGTGTGTGTATGGACAGCTTTAAGAAAATCTTCAAAATTACTTTAGCCAATCTACTATCTATTCTAACATCTACAATCTAATAGCTCCAACCTAGAAAAATATTCTTTTCTCCAAAGAAAGACCTGGTGTGAAATACAATGTATATGAACTTTGTAAGTAAGCCAGTATAAAATAAAAATGTTATTTTTTTAAAGAAAAAGGTTTTATGTGACTTTGGTATGCCCAACCTTTTAGCTAACCTAGGAAATAAGAACTCTGTTTCAGCTTGATTCCAGTGGAACACAGAAAGAATTCCAACCAATGTGACAATTCTTTGGCATACACAAAAACAATTATCATAGTAATGAACTAAAAGTTAAATATAGGCATTCTTTACATGATCTGTCTTATTTTATTTTAATATGACAGAGAATTGAAAACAAGAAGAGGGCATTCCAAAAAGACAAGTCTGACTGCTGGTCTATTTCATCTTCTGTAGATTTGAAAGCCACTAATTACGAAAGCCTCATTCTTTCTTAGAGGAGTGATCTGAGAAGGAAAAGTGCTATTACCAAGATTTACCTTAAAGTATGGAATGATTTTTTTTTTTAAAAAAAAAAGCACCTTGCACAGTGTAAAGTGGTAACAAGAAAGGCTAGCATTAATATTTAGCATCATGAAGAAACACTTCAGTCATGGGGATGTGGGGGAGCAGCCATAATTATATAGTCTTGAACCAGGGCATTTCTTTGTTTTAATCACAGTCAAATGAATCACTAAGCGACTAGTGAATAACAGTTAACAAATTAATAGGGTGTACATATTCAACTGAAATAATCTGTATGCTTTCTCTGAACTATTATTAATTATACAAAATGAAACACTATTCTTGGCCTGGATCTTGATACTTAAGGAAAGTAAAACATTCATAACCTAGTAGCAGTCATTTGGAAGACAGCTGATAATGCCTTTGCATTTCATTTTAATAAATAGCTCCTGGCGAGCTCTGGCGGCCTAGTGTCAAGACGCTGCACTGCAATCCCAGAGGT